TTTTTACTTTTTGGCAATGTTAACAAATTTCATAACCAATTGTAAAAAAAAAAATAAAAATCATTTTAATGGATAATTTCCATGTAAAATAAGCCAAACGTGAACAAAAAAAAATCCAAAATTTCAAATTTTTTCAGAGTGAAAAATTATATCAATCAAACACACTTAATTAATAATTCCGTACAAAACAATTTTTAGACAATTACTTTCCCTGAAAATCATTTTCTTTCCACCCATTTTCCACCATCGCAATCAAACGCACCCTTAATCATTTTAAAAGTCAAATGGATGAAATTGAAATCTCTTCCATTATCATGAAAGCCACAATCATATACAACACCATTCTAATTGAGCAACTTATAAGTTGGGTAAGCACTTTCGATTTTTTATTTTTATTTTTATTTTTTTGAAAGAAAGGTAGGAACTTTCTAATCATGTTTCCTAAGACAAAATCAAATGACAAATATGTAATGGTTAAAACAAAATCATACCAAAAGGCTAAAAAATTGTATAATCAAAGGGAATAGTATTTTATGATGTAGCCTCCACACTGGTTGGAACTAATTTTTTTTCGTTGAATTCTTATTTTTAACCTAAAGATTTACTAATTAACAAAAGATCGAGGATAAAAACGTGTTAAAAAAAATTAGGGATACAAGGACTATAATAAACAAAAATCGAGATCTTAAATGCAATTCAAGTGTAATGTAACTAAAAAAAATTAGTTGGAAAGTTAAATATCTGCAAAGATACAATAATTTATTGGACTTGAATATGCCTGCTCCTTGGAAATTCTTCGAACTCTAGCAGATGACGTAAAACTAATTTTCAAAAGGAATCTTTTTCCATCTAGAAGGATGCTCGTTTGATCATTCATAATAATCATTTCCATTTTACTAAGTTACCCAACTTGACCTTTATATCTCCAGCATGAACAAATGTGGAAATGGACAAACCATTCTGGAGGATGACTGCAGCAAATTTATTAAATGCTGAGGGTCAAATGTTTGAAGAAAAAGGTTTGGATCAAAATTGCAAGTTGTAAAGGTCATGTATGGTAACAATAACTATATCTAGTGAAATATCCAACTTTATAAAAATATTTTAATCATTTTATCAGTTTAACTGAAACATCGTCCAAAAACGATAAGAAACATTTTAATGAAAAAATATATTTAAAATTTTCATAAATGAAGAATTTATTTTTGTTTACAAAAAAAGTCTATGATCTCGTACATGACTAAAGCCAAGGCAAATAATGGTAAAGTATAAAATAACTAAGAAATGAGCGAAGGTTGTAGTGAAAATAAATAGATATTGGAGCATAAACCATGTACAGAGTTTTCCAATATTTACAGCATTTTTCATTCATTCAGATTGAGCAACTTCTGTTGGATAAACACTTTCTGGTCATATTTCTTGAGACAAGACAGAAAAATAAATAATGTAACAGTTAACAGTTTATTAGGTTATGCAAAAATTCTCATTGAATCTTCCAGCAAAATCCTCCACAAAGGCAAAATTTTGTCTGACCAAAAGGCATAATTATTTTCTTATGTAGCCTCCACGCTGGTTTCAGGAGCTTTCTTCACAAAGTTAAGACCAGATTGTCTGCTTCGTTTTGCAGGAGCTGGAGGATTAAAACCCGAAATTTCAGCTTCATGCTAAATAAAGTAGCTACTTTGATTAAATTTGTGCGACTATGGGGAAAGGGAGTATACGTCACTACCTTTTGCCTTGGCAGTGTTATTAGATTGGAGAACAGCAGATTTCCACTCATTATAGGCACGATTATCCATCTGTTTGCGCTTCTTGTACGCAGAAGGCTGCAAAAGATCACAGTTCAACCAAAGTATAGTTAGGCCTCGAGACACAAAGTGTCAACAAATGAATTCAAATGCATAAAAACGAAGAAAGTCAGATAAGCAACATGAGTAAGGTAGCACGTTAAAGTTATGTGAAACAATTTAGTAGGTGCTACGTTGTAACTGGTAAGTATTTCCTGGTTTAAGATACGTGAGATGAAATGTCATGGGATTGTCCCAGCACCTATCTGAAAAGTGTATTTCCATACTCAAAATTCGACGATCAACTAAGCAGTCTAAGCATTGCGTTGAGGGCATGAGACTATTAGAACTTTAGAAGAAACAATGTTCATTTACATATCTGTCAAAAATGATAAACGAGAAAAGGAAGCAAAATAATTTCATACTTTGTTCTTGCACATTTCTTGAAGCATAACCTACTTTGATTTTTTATCATAATGATCCACACTATGTAGCAACTATACATTTAAGATTTCCTTTACAGGACATTGACTCAATTGTGATAGCAAAGACAGTAATTTTTACTCAAATGTACACACCTCTCTGAAGTGATTTATAACCAGGGACTATCAAAACGTGATAGCAATTAAAATCATAATAGTTAAGATGCGATGCTAATGATTACCTCTTCTCCATCATCAGATGAATAGCCTCCATCCTCGAGCCTCCTTTTTTCAGGAAATGCATTTAGAAGCTCTGCATGTAAAAGACGAGAAAGCTAAAATGTAAGGAATAGAGTTGTGAGTGAAAGCCTAATAGCACATGTTTGGTAAGGCGCCACTCAATGTAATGAAAGCCTTTCTTAACTTTATAGTGTAACAATTTAGGAGTAGGGTCATGGAGTTTATGAACATCCAAAACATCACAAAATTGATTTTACCTCGGTTTCCTTTAACATCTTTAGGATCCTTCTTTTCCTTTGTTATCCCGAACGCATCAAAGCATAGGTCCTTCATTGAAGTAGATACCTGAAATAGTGTGATCAAATGAGCATTCATTATATGCCAAGTTAAAAAGCAAATAAATTTTCCTTGTACAAACAATTTATGCAAACAGGAAGATTGTGATCTCACAGTAGAAAATTCAGATTCTGATGATCCAGCAAGTTCTATCAACTTAATTTTGTCTGCCTTGAGCTGCAAAATTTGCAAATGATGAATAAATAATGACATTAAAGCACCGTTGACAATGTGGCCATTAATACAAATACATATATCTAGTGCATTTCCTGGAGAAAAATTATCCGTACCTTGTGTCGTTTTGCACAGAGGTAGAATGCAACGGCAGTAAACACAGGACGAGTGAAGTCAGTACTTGCCCGACGAGAAGATGGCAATGAAGTAATAAATCTTTCCTTATACCTAAAATTCAAAAAATTCAAATCAGTTCCAAGAGAGAGCAATTAAAATGCATATCAGAAGAGTTTGTTTTCATTCTCATTCCTAAGCAATGATCATGATGCACTAAACCATATTACACCAGAGTTAAGAAACAGCACCGTTACTTCACTAAACCAATTTATCAAACATCAACTAGTCAATTTCGCAAAATAAAGCAGATTCGATAAACATTCAATGCTTACAAAGATAAGCCTTTGAGGACCAAAGGAATGAGCCTAATGCATCCAAATTGAATGGCCAATTCTCTTACATCAAGCTTGTTCCTAAACAAATCAACAAAAGTAATAAAACATACATTTCTATATCCCATTCCATCATCAATACATTAAAAGGTCATGAATGAAAAGTAAAAAATTAGTGAAAAAAATTGATACTAACTTGACACCAATGCCATTCTGCATCGAATTAAAGGATCTACTATAAGCCTTCTCAGACAAGCCACTCAATTTTATCGCAGTCTGACGATCAAATATGACTTCCATCCTAAAAAAAATTAATTATTACAAATTATCAGATCTTAAAATTAACAAAAAAATTAAAAGAAATAAATAAATTATACAAGAGTAAATCCGTAGTACTACCTAGAAGAAGCAATCTCTAAGCAAATAATAGCCTTACAAATCTCACCCTGCAAATCAATGAACGTGTAGCAATTTATAAATAGGAATTAAAACGAATAATTGGTTATCTTAAAAAAAAAAAAAAAAAAAAAAA